GAAGCATGATGGTCATCAATATAAACACCATCATCATTAATAACACACTTATTCATAAATGATTAAGTACAATCTTATTATGATTTAATATATTATCATAAATTATATTTGGTCTTATACATTATGCATCAGTTGCAAGTCATTTATTCATTTGTGAAGGAATACATTTAGATGAAAATGATTTTTTTATTAGTTTTATTAATTGAATAGTTTCTTCTATTATCATATATATTTGTATTATGTTTAGCTGAATTAATTGTTTATGATCGTATTGAAATCGATATAAGATTGGTGTCGGTTTCTTCTATACTGAATACGAGTGATGTGACTTTGATAAAACGTTAAATAATTGGATTAAATAATGACAAATCAACTTGATGGATATATTTATCTTATTAAAACAGAAATTGGATGATGTGCATATTGGTGGTCAATAGATATTCGGACATACGAGAATATTTGATGTGAAACGAGGTACTGTAAAGATATTTCGCGAATATAGACCATCATAGGCAACAAATCAGCATTTTTGTTCAAGTCAAAATAGTGAACAAAATGAATCAAGAATATTTTCTTCGGGAAAATGTGATAATGAACATGGAAGATGCAATCGAAAGTTGAATATAGTCAAATGTGAAACAAGTAACTCCCATTTTTGACCATCAATAAGATCCAGATAACCTTGTGCAATAAATTCGAAATAATATAGACTAGGTATTTTAGATAAAAATTATTCTGCATAGATCATGGTCTTTTTTTTGCCTTAATTGTAAAAAACAAAGAATATATATGTACAATTTTCAAATAACTATACACACCATGAATGTTTAGGATGAGCCACCTTAGATGGGACAATAATGATATGGTATCCGTTCACTTTAGATAATTATCATATGAAAGTTTGACATCAAGTGAATAAAGATTAGGAATTTGATTTAATATAAATGATAAGTCCCAGCAAAAGAAACTTTGAAGAGTTAAATGACGTAGATGAGGCAATGAAATCAAAACGGGATTATGAGCATGAGGTACTGCTAGTCGATTCATTCAAGGAATTAGGTTATATATAGCAGTGTATCTCTGTGTTTATTATCACTAATTTTAGTCATATCGAATGATTGAAGATAAATGAATTGTTCGAGTTTAAAATGAGAAAAGCACAGGTTTGATTGATTTGATGTATCATTGTCATGGGACAATATAACAGAAATGACTTGATGTAGTTGTATATGTTGGGAAAGAAGATCAAATTTCGATATAAGAATAGAATGAAAGTTGAGTAAATAGTATTAAAAAATATCATGTGAGATAACTGATTTCTTATTGCTCGTTCATGATGTAATAATATAACACACTGCTTTTTTTCTTGTTTCATTCTTTAGTCGATACTACTTGCAAACGTTCTTCTTTCAGATATGACACACATGTCGAGATGCAAATGATTCATCGTGTATTGGATACCGAAAAGAATATAGAATGAGTATAAATCTATGATGAGCGAATGAGATTGACAAATCAAAAATTTTGAATAAAATGAGCAAACATGTCTTTCAATAGTCACATATCTCTTCTGCATCTTTAGTCTTTACGTACTTTAATCATTGCCATTTTTTTTTCTTTATTTACAACATTTAGTACGAGTCACTGCTTTTCATTTTTAAGCCGCTTGTTTTTCTTTTTAATTCAACTTTATAACACTAGAGAAGTTTTTTTCGATGAAATTGAAATATAGAAAAATTCAGATTATAAAATCAACTTTTTTCTCTAGGAAAAATAAATAAGCAAAGAAGAAACACCTACTTCAAACATTACTTTTTTTTTATATACAAGGTATCTCGTAAGTCATTGGGCAAGAAAAGATTTGAATATCTCTTCGTATTTCGGCGAAATAGACTAATTATTTTACTAAAGATGAATCATGGTTCATAGCTCATATTTATAGTAAAAACGTTAGCAAATAGGTTTTTGAAGTGTCATTTCTACCTTCTGACTTTCTTAAGCTATAAAAATACAATATGTTTATTCCCATGGACAAAAATGAAAAACATAGCTATTTTTCGATGACTTTTTCATACTATTGTGAGGTGCATATGATGTGGAGAAATATCTTCATAAGATTATTTTCTCATTACTATGTTGTTTTTGAGTGTCATCCATTCGTATGCAAAGGTCTTCTGAACAGTAACTATGATATTATACTTACGTTGCTTCACTAATATTTTTCTATTTATATAAATGATGATTCACCTACTCTCATGTATTATCCAATCCAAAATAAAAGGCAGTTTGCCATTTTTCAAATAACTTTTAATACGAACAAGATAGAGAGCTGCAATTTTCCCCATTTGAAAGAGCCATACTTGAGTCATCGATCTATATAAAATTCATTAGGACGAAAGGTGTTTGTTCATAGAGAATTATCGATTAAGTTTTTTTCTAGGTATAATTTTCCTCAAGTTTCACAATAATCTGAACTCAAATGATGCCAAAATGTACCTTAAGGACACTTTTTTCACTATAAAATATGTAAATGCTCTTGAGAATCCACTTCGTAAAAGAGATCGAGGATTGATCGAAAATGTGATGATTTTATGGTGAAAAAAGTGTGGTAGGCAATCTTGTTCGAAAAGCATCTTTCGTCCTCATGAGTTTTATACAGATCGATGGTCCATATGAAGTGATTGTTTGCAAAATAAAAAAGAAGTTGATTTTCGATCAGATAGATGGATTCATTCATTAAGAGGAAACCAATTTAATTGAATTATAACACAACTTAACGATTAGTTGGGAAAGAAGATAGGGTATGGGGCTGGCAAGTCACGAATGGCGCCGACGAATGATTCGACGCTTGTTTCTAAGATTGATATGAGCCTTTCTTTCGCGAAGCTTTCTAGAGATTGGACAATAGTTTTCAGAAGAGCTCGATCAAATAGATAGAATCTGGAATCGGTGAGTCACAACTGGCACCCTCGAGAGATGCTGATGAGCGACTCGCCATTCATTTACAAGGTAGACACGTCTTTTCTTACGTAAAGCTTTGAATGAAATATAGAGTATTTTTCGAAAGAACTGAGGCAATTGTTGTGGTGAAGACGACTAATTCAAAATCGTACCAATTTCTCATAAAAGCCAAAGAAATGTTATCTATGATGAGAATATCACCGCATGAATACCACATATTCCAAACTCGACATTATCAGTGTTGCTTTTTCCAAATTGCAAAAGTTGAAAGACTTGTTTGTATGGTGTTGGCTATAGCATCACACAAACTGACGATTTATCTGATAATATTTTGTCAAAGTGAATAGAATAAATTCAGTTGAGGGTGAAGCGAGTCGTAGCGACGAGCGTTACTTGTGATTTTAAACTCTGTAAAAAAGAAATTCATTTACTTTAAATGCCCTTCATGTTTGTGAGAAATAATTTGCTGAGTCACATTGTTAAGAAAACTGCACATACAATAGTCGCATCTCGCCAAATATATGCAACAAGTTTGGCATAAAATGAAAAAATAATTTTAAAATCCTTATCCTTCATATCAAAGATTTTTTCACGTTGTGTGATACGACCGGTATATTTTATTGTTAAATTAATTTCTAAAATAATTATCAATATTTTCTATTAATCTACTTGCTGTCTACGTCAATAAAATCTCCGACAGATTTAGCAGTCAAGATCGATGACGATCTATTTTTCTTGACAATATTTACGACTCAACTAGTCTTTTTGAATATATGTCTATCCTATTCTTGAAATCTCGTACTAGTGTCTGTCAAATAGTATTATAAAATTCAGTTTTGTTTGCTATTGTCTTCCTAATCAGAATGATTTCATTTTTAATCTGTACGAGAAAGAAAGCTAGAAAAATACTTTTAAAGCATTTCCTTTGTCATTCAATAGTGATTCAGCCTAGATACAAATTCTATTGTGTAACTATCTAACAATCAACAATTAGAATAGATCTAAAAGATGATTAATATTTCTATACACATTACATAGACCGAGCGAAATAAAGATTTTGTTGTTCTGTTCTTGTCGACATCATTCAGAAATATTACTCATTGCACAGGTGTCATCGTAGTAATTTTGTTGTTCTTTCTGGTCGTGTGGCAATGTTTTCACACAAATAAGAAAAGATGTAATCAGCCAGCAAAATAGACGACACGATGCGCTCGCTTCAAAACTGCACGCTTTTTTCTGACTCATACTCATGTATGCAGTTACACTTTCAAAAATACCTCATTTTGAAATACTGCTATATTGCTTAGTCAAATCCTAATTTTAGATGAGTTCTGATCAAATTCGTCAAAATTTACCGGAAGAATCTTCTGAGTCAATTGTTCAACGTACTAATAATACAGCAAGTACTAATACGATATCATTATAGTATTTGAAAAAGAATTAATATGAATTTATGGTGTTTTTTAGATGGAACAACGCCTTTTTCTATGTTTTTACCAACTTCTCATAGGCAGATTGAAAGAAACGATTGGAAAACCTATATCAAATTTGTTAGAAACAATAACATTAATTGCGTAAATCAATACATCAAATGTGGAGGCGATTTAAATTATCCAATAGAACCTCAAGGTGCAATACATTGTGCCGTATTCTATAATTATATGGAAATGTTGAAATTGTTACTTGAAGCTGGTATTAATGTTAATCAACAAGATGAAGATGGTGATACAGCATTACATTATGCAGTAGGACAAACAAAAAACATTGAATGTATCGATCTACTCTTACATTACGGTGCGTGTCCATTTATTAAAAATTATTCATCGAATGAAGAGACACCAATAGATTTGGCTATTCGACAGAATCATAAAGAAATTATTGAACTACTAACAGAAAATATTGATCTTACGAAACGTTTATGTAAAGCAGCTGAAAATGGTGACACCGATCTTGTTCACATTCTATTAACAACAACAAAAGTCAAAATCAATGGAATTTCACATGAATTTGTGAATCCATTGCACGAAGCATCACTGGCTGGTCATTTGTCTGTAGTCAAATATTTAATTCAATGTAATGCTAATATTAATGCTAAAACTACATCAGAATCGACAAGATATAATACACCAATGCATTGCGCTGCAACAAAAGGTCATCTCGATATAGTGAAATACTTACTTGAAAAAGGCGCAGAAAAAGAAATTATTAACATAAATAAACACACTCCATTACTTTGTGCAATTATCATGGAAAGAACGAATGTTGCTGAGTATTTAATTTGAAGTGGCTGTAACGTAATGGCACGAGATTCAGTCAGAAAAACGCCACTTCATTGGGCATCATTCTTTGGTCTAAATGATATTGTTCTATTGTTATTGGAACATGGAGCAGATATTAATGCATTAGCTGATTTTGGACAACCCCCATTGCATTGTGCTGTTGGATATCCATTTCATACTGAAACTATTAAATTACTCATAGAAAAAGGTGCAAATGTCAGCTTGAAAAACGAAATGGATCTTACAATTCTTGATTATTGTCACAACAACAATCCAAATGACATAGATCTTATTCAGTTTATTAAACAACATGGCGGATAAGTTACAAAACGTTGACTTTTGATATACTTTGTGGTAGTTAATAAATAAATTCTTATAAAGAAGAAAGAATCATTTCCTATTTGATGAGCATATCTCAATCAGAAAAAAAAACGACATATATCATTTTGTAGACAGCTTGAAATACGTTGCATTTTCTTTCAAACTTAGAAACAATTAGAGTGGACTTATCAGTACAATTCTATTGAATTCAATCATGATTAATAGATGTTCAATATGAACATCGATAGCAATAGATAAAGTTATTAAGAAATATTTTCTCTATGTGCTTTTAAGCTTTTTACAGCATTCTAATGACCACGATGCCTGTCTATATGACAAATCTCAGAACGAAATATTGCTATTCAAGCTCGTCATAGATACCTTATCCAAGGTAAACAATTTAGCAGAAAAGACAGATAATAACTTGAGAAGAACAGCGTATGTGGATAATATAAACTCGATCGACATTTAACACTTGGAGGAACTGCCTTTGTACAAAAAGACTTAGCAATCATATAATCTTCTAAATTCCGCGCGAAGCTCAATCATTTTCAATGTGTTCGATACATAATATAAGATTGAACGTTTTAGATGTATCTTCGGAGCACTCATCAAAGTACACTTATAATATCGATCGATTATACGTAATTCTTTGTTTATACAACTGAGACATCCAAAATATATGTGAATGCTTTTTTTTTACTGGCTAGGTTTCAACTGGATCTCAGCGATTTTCAATTTAATTTTTTTGATGAATATGTATGTGAATCGTTACATTAAAAATTGATACTACGGAGTGTTTTCGACAAAAGAATAGTGAGAAAACGAAAAAGAAGAGATTGAAGTAAAAGTTCAAATCATTTGATTTTTGATTTGTTTTTTGGATTAGAGCCGTAGAGAGCAATCCGTGGATAGAGCTGCCACTGGATAGGGCGAAATGAAGGGTTTTTTCAACAGATGTTTATTATCAGTAGCACATAATGAATGAATATCACTGATTGCCATTTTAAAAAAGTCTACTAAGGGGTGGCTGTGGGAAGGACGATATGTATAGTGCGAGTATGGATGTGTGTTGTTAGGTGAGTGCATGAAACTTCTTGTCACTCACTAACGCCTACAGTCACACTGTAACGACAAATTGAGCGGGTAGCTTTACCATAAGCCTTGGTAATGATGTCTATAGAGCGAATTCACATCTCTATAGTGTATCTATCTAACGCACAACAGGAGTTTATATAATAGGAGAGAAGAAAGGGATGAACACAAGAAAGAACCGTAGAGAAAGAATGACAAGAACTATAGGAAAGAGAAATTAACCATATCGGTAAGAGGGTAGCATCATTATCGTCACAATTATCCAAGTCCGATTCTCCAAATATCATAGTTTCTTCAATTAGTGATTCAACGAATGCAAACTTTCTTCTTTTGGTCTGTACATATTCTAACTAATATACAAAGTGCATACATGAGTTGCTGATAATTCTCGACTGCAAATTCTGAAATTATCAACACCACCTGTAAACGAACTAGTGACATCGATTGCACCTGCAAAGCACGATCCTGGTCCCAAGAGACTACTAGCTAATGTAACATAATTGGGGGTTATTCCACTAGCTCAAAATGTTGTTGCTGATGATAGAGAAGCAACTAGAATATTGTCAATATAGAGACAAAGACCATTTGTTGAATTCCATGTTTGGACGATATGAGTCCAGAATGGTGATGAGAGAGGAATAAGAGTGGATGCAATGACAGATAATATTGTTGTTCCATTATGGATTTGAGCAACAAGTGTACCATTTGAAGAAAAACCTATTAATAATAGGCACCATGATCCAAGACTAGTCGATAAGGTCGAGATGTGAACCAATGTGCCTGATCGCAACTGAAGTTGAATCCAGAGAGATATCGAAAATGGTTGGTTATTGATGCTGAATTGAGTGAAGCCGGACGCTTGAAAGTAAGAATTCGAACCACTGAATTCAATTGCTTGGAGAGAGTGACCAATAGATAAGATGGAATAAGATAGTGTGGATGTTGGTGTCGGTAAATGAGTGTGCATGTGGATTACACTAACGTTTAGTTCTATACATGAACACACATCTGTACCCGCACTTCACACCACTCACACACATCCAACCACAATGTAGCGATGTTTGCTGAGATATTTAGAGATTTCTAAGAGGTAAGTTAAAACATATCATGTCTAGTCGAAAGTTTAATGTTTAAAAAAAATAAATAAACAAAAAATAACTCGAAATATGAAGATAAATAAAAAGTGTTCTTCTTCTGATCGTATCTGATCCCGAACGGTTTCAATTGTTATCATATGAGCACACAATCAAAGTGGATTCCATTTAACGTTCCGCCAGCCATGGTTTTTTGTACATGAGCTTCGAATGTGCTCGCATTCGATTTGAGTACGTCAGCCGCTTCTTTGTTTAAAGGGTCATATGGATTTGGATCCTTCGAAATAAAGAAAAGATGAAAGAAATATATAAAGATTGAAATGCTCACCGAGAAGAGAAAAGCTAGACCAAAAATGACCGACGTAATACTTAACACCGGGTTCCAGTCTTCCCTGAAAATATACCAACATATGCTCTAGCAAACGTAATAGATCAATCTTTCTCACCTCAAAATATTCAAACAAACGTTGCCTTCGAGGTCGATATTTGGATGGTAGATCTTTTGTTTACATTTAACATTGGGCGGTGAATATGGATATTCCGGTCCAATAGTGAATGAAAATGTGAAGCGACCACCTTTGTAATAGCCCTAAGATAGAATCATTTTGAAATTAGTTAAATAATAGAAAACAACCGTACTCACATCGTCAGGAGTGATAGTTAGTATGAATTGAAGAATATTGCTCGGATCAGGATAGATCAACTGATACATGGACGGTAATGTGCCAAATTCACTAGACTCTGTAGAGAAAGAAAGAAAGTGTCTGTTATTCACTACAAGAAAGAAGATGAGTAATTCCGAGCCTAATAGCTTGAGAAAATGTAAAAAGTCTGGAAAATCAATTTCGAACCGAGCATTCATGCTTCCGATTGCGATTATTACTCAACTAACATCGATCCTTAGGTTTTCGTCCATGCTGCATCACGTGGCAATATTTTTGCTCTTCTTCAAATCAAGACAAGATCGGTAGGCAAACGTGCCCGAAACATTCAAGAAAAACTTGGAAGTCATCACCATACATGAAGAGAATATTATTATTGTATTTACTACTAACTTCTAAATAGATGAGACGGTCAGTGTTGATAGAATATCTGTGGGACGTAAGCAACTAGAGATCTACGATTTTTGTCAGATGTTTTATGGAAAAAATCGAAATCTTAGTATTTCTTCCATGATCGGCAGAGTGATTTCCAAAAGATTCATCAGAAAGTCTGCTAGAGGTTCAATTAACAATTTTCTCTCCTATAAACGGCAATGTGAAACGCTATTCACCGCATAATGATGAAAATCTGGCGTTGGTAGCTGTTCGAGTTTTCAAGTTATTCGACTGGAAAGCACTATTTGTAGTACACATAAGGACTTCAGTTACCTGTTGTTACCCGTCTAATAGCAGCCGACATGTTTGGTGAGCTTTTGATCGGTGCTACTGTACTTGGATTGTCTATGGACCGAGGTTGCGTAAGGTGGATTATATTATGCATATCTAAAACGAAAAAAAGAATCAATTGAGAGAGTGCACACTATACATTTTGCTGCCATATGAGTTGCAGATTGTGTCATGTTCTGTGACAGTATAACATTTTGCTATGTGAATGGTTGGGAATACATTTTTCTTACGCTACGTACGGCACATTTTTCTGCAGCAAGTGTCAAATATTATGCAGCACATCCTATATTAAATTTGCACATGCGTACATGTACAAGTAATTGCTCCACAATTGCGAAAGCACTGAATGCTATCCTTCTAAAAATACAAGCTCCTATATTCATTCTTTCCAAGCCATTTCCCTCCCTTCTCCTTGTGCTACTTCGCTGTTGAAGCATCTCACCTAAAAATATATCCTCCTATACGTATTTTCTGTTTATGTCAAATATCTTCACTATCTTATGGATGAGTATGACTGTCTCCTCTTCTCAGACCTACACCTACCTGTACCAACGTCAATTTCTACACTCACTCACACCACTAACAATACCTACTCACACCCTGATGAGGCCAATCGATGACTGTAATACTTACATTCATTTGTGTTTGGCTTTATAAAGTTGAGCAAGAATAATTCCATAGTTGGAGATTTCTCTTTTTCAACTCACTTTTTTCTTCTTTTCTTTTGTAATTATTACTCGAAAAGCGACACAATGACACACTGTTGTCTGAGTCATGTTGACGTCAAATAGTGTGCTGAAAAGCACAAATGTGTAATGGTTATTGCATCACGTCTGTGCAATTGAGCATTGAATATCTTAAAAATGAATTCGAAAAAGTGAGAAATTCATTAGAAGTGAACAAAATTCAAACAAGTAGACGGAAGCTATAGGTGGCATGGTGTGAATAAATGTCATGGAGTCTGTACCCACTCAGAAAAATAAATACATATCAAATGAAACAAATATTTGAATTTTGATTTGAAAGATCCATTGAAATATTAGCTGTCTCCACAAAAGAATGCTGATTATGGATCGACATCATTGTTCCCTTTCAGGGTTGAGACATCTTAACAATCAGTATGTACTCCGCACTAAGTGACTCAAATTGATTTGACCTCCCTCTAGTCGCAGGGATAGATTTAAAATCTTTCGAAACGAACGTACAGAATGAATTATCAATCCTTAACCTACCAAGACTGGAATTTCAATTCTGTTATGTGTTTTGTTGTCATTCAAGCATTTTCTTCGCTTAGTGTAAAAAATATTTCTGCTTTCGTGTCTACAGATCGTAGGTAATTCACTGAGGTGTTCTTTTCTATAGATTGTGCTGAATGATTTTGTGAAGTACGAAGATGCCTTATAACTTACAAGATTTTTCACTTAGATTATTCAACAATTGACGAACTAATACTATTAACACAATGTGTTGATGTAGATACGAGTGTCTCTGTGGCTCAAGAAAAGATTGATAATGTTTCAGTATATTTAAAGCAGACAAGAAGGAAAAACTACTGATTTTTTGGCACTTCACACTTTCCAAAATGTGTCATTTATTGATTCAGTGATATGTTCAACATAGATAAATAAAGAGAAACTCTTTAGATAAATACATCCTAATGAAATTAGATCATGCATTGTCTGACGAAAATTCTTATAGACAACACTCGGGATGTTAAAAAGTATTTCGCTTCGTCGATTCATGTTTTTTTTTGATTGCTTTGTGTTTCTGAATCATCATTTTCTCTAACGACTGCCCGTGTTTAACTGTATTTTTAGCAAAAAGATGATTTACACATTCTTTCATAATTAGGTTCAAATTCATAGATATATACAGCAGAGATATTGCTGTATTGCATGGCTAGATAAAGAACAAAATATACTTTTAGTTGCTTCTCATGACGAATACATTTTTCATGACATGCATTGTTGACTCGAATCTATCTCATTTTAGTTTAGAGAAGCAGATATTTTTGACGATATCAAGTTTAAAATCCTACCCGTAAATAGTCGAATTTGGATTCCACTTCACCTACGTTTTCAATGGATTACGAGAGCAGAGATTTAAATTATGATTGTCTTCGCTGTTGATAAAGCTGAAGGGTGTCAATATTGAAAGTAACATCCGAATATAGCAAGCTATATTGGTTTTAAGATAAATGACTTTGATGACTTTTAAAGTCATCAAAGTCATTTTTAAGTCAAAAGTCAGTCGTTTCCCCCTTGTTTTTTGGTTATTTAATGATAAGAATTGCATGGATATCTGTGTTTAGGATATTGATGCGGTTAAGATCATTTATAATTACTGATGATTATTGACTCTCCCTTAACCCATTGAGTCCCAGATTAGTTTTACGTAGTAAAAAGGACGAGGGAGAGTTGATAGGCAAATCAGTTCTATAATTTTTTTTTGATTCGAAACCCCAACTATATTATACGAAACGAAAAGGCTCGGTGAGTTGAGCATTTTTTGTGACAGAACTCGGCATTTTGAAAGCAATCATGGAGAGTTCTGAGCGTGATAACGACTAAAATGACTGAAATTTTACAAGTTAGCTTACTGAGAACCCTTTATGGTTTCATTTAAAAGATCAAGTTTCGTCACAAAAAATGTTCAGCTCGTCGAGCTCTTTCGTTTGATATAATAAAGTTGGGGTTTCGAATCCAAAAATTATTATAGGACTGGTTTGCCTATCAACTCACTCGCGTCCTTTTTACTATATAAAAAAAATCCAGACTCAAAGGGTTAAGGAGTATAGTATTCATCGACGTATTGAAATGACGAAGAGAAAAATAAGATTTTTTTTTTTTCTGTTCTTGTTAGAGAAGGACAATTACGTGCAAAACTTTAATATTTGTACGTAAAAGAAAGCAAATTATGTGAATGACAGAGAGAGATGAATCATAGTGCAATTTATTCATCCGTGACTGCAATAATGAAAAGGTAATATATGATACAAACTTTGTAAGGATACGAGAAATATATTTCTCAATCTCAAAGTAAGACCTGTAAGTTTTTCTCTAACACAAATTGAATTTTTGGTAATTCTGAGAAACAAGTTATCCTAGTTCTCGTCAAATTTTTATTGCTAAAAATTTAGTAGAAGAATCATATTCATACCCCTAAGATAATATCACTGAGTCAACAAGTGTCATAAAAAATTTTTTTTTCAGAATTAATAACATGTTTTTCTCGTTCATATCTAATAGACTTTTCAAATTTAGTTTGCTTTTTTTTTTCAGAAAATATTATTCGATATATCCTATGTCGACCATCAACAAATCATCTCAAGTCGGTGAATTTTATCTTGCATGTCAAAATGGTGATGTGGATTTCGTAAAAAGATATTTGAGAAATCTCAAAGAAAACAAAAATGATCCAAATCCTTTGGAACCAAATGTTAATAGCACACCATTACATGCTGCTTGCTACTATGGTAATAAAGAAATAGTTAAACTATTGTTGGAACACAGGTGTGATCGATCGAAAATAGATGGATATGGCTTAACTGCTTACGAAGAGGCTACTAATGATGAAATTCGACAATTATTCAAACGACCACAAGACATCAATTGTAGTCGACGTTTTCAAGATGAATCTATAGAAGATTGTTTCGATTTTGTTCGACGACCTAAAGAAAACGTTAAGGATTCATCGATGGTAAACAAGTTTTCATTTTTAATCATAAAAGTCAAACCTGAAATTTCTCATTAGATATTGAATATCTTATATTTGAAAATTACATATTCATTTAATCAGATATTTTGAAATACAATTCGATACGTATTGTACGAATATCTAAATCTTTGAGTAAGATACTGAATATACTAATTTAGATTTCGGATTTTTGACACTAGTAATTATAGTGCAATGAAACATATCGAATTATTTTGAAGAGATTTTATTCAAAAATACTGATCTATATAAGATGTATAGTAAAGTCGAAAAATTGATAAAAGTTTATTAATTAATATAAAATAACAAATGTGAAATTCTTTAAAAGGCCTAATTTCGTAGTATCGAGTGTCTAGTTCATTTAATATTTCATTCACTAGTTTTGACTTCCGTTCATAGAGTTCTACATAGTCAACTAAGTTTTTGTAAGTAGTATTCAGTTTGGATATAATCAAGCAACCTTGAAAAGTATGAACGTCTTTTTGTTTTCTACTTCTCTGTACCATTATTCTGTTATGAAATTTTATTATATTTATAATAAAAGTTGACTGAATAGTTGACATAACTCAAATTAAGACATTTGCAAAATCAATTTTTTTGATTGATCAAAAGAAGATATAGTAAAATTAGGAAACTACCAAGATTTTAATACAACAGAAAAATATTTATTTTCAAGTTTAACCATTTTGCTTTTTGTAGAAAAAAACAACGATTGATCCTGTTACGACATTACCATCTGAAACAGAAAAAATACAAACGGTTCAAACTTACATAACAAAAGCTGAAAAACAACGTGAAATTGGTTATGCTACTACATCAATAGCTATGTGTCAATCAAAACTCGGAAGATTTATTGCTGATAAATTCAATGATAATGCACCAATGTCATTGAATACCATTGGTATTCGACTTCATGATATAATTGATAGAGAACTCATAGCTAACAAAGATCCAGAATCACTTAAAGCAAATGAATTATTAAATAAATTTTTAACAGATAATTCTAATGAACGTATTAAACATCTCATACGTTTATACACATTGGAAACAAAATTTTATTCTGCTCTAAGACAAAATCCAATGCCATTGGCACTACCTTTGTATATAAAATTAAAAAAATTAAAAGATCGATTTTTCAAAGGACACTCATATCGTGGTGCAAAAATGAGTGATGATGAAATTGCAATATATGAATGGGCTGTTCATAATCGTGGAAGTCTTTTACAAACTAGACATTTTTCATCAACTTCTCAAAACCGTTCTATTGCTGAAAAATTTGCAAATTCAACAATTGACACACCAGATGATATTCGAAAAAATCGTGTTCTATTCATATTTAATTTTCCTGTACAATGTAATCAAGCAATAAATTTAAGTCGAATATCTGACACACAACCGTGTCTGTCAGAATATGAAAATGAGGAAGAAGTTTTAGTATTACCATGGACATTATTTCAAGTTGAACAAGTTGACAAAGACTTACCATCATCATCATATACAATCTATTTAACGAATGTTTTATTAGCAAAGAAGAGTCTTTTTTCATCATTAAAGTGGATATTAAAACATCCTGCCGGTTGTATGGATCGATTCCATGAACATTTTCCAGAAAGAAAACCAGATTTTATTGTAAAACATCTCATGAATAGTGCTTTCAGATTTGATCACACAACAATCGAGGAAAACGATCAACCAATAATAACAGTATTTTGATTGATACGGTCACGCTATAATGTAGATATGTATTTTCGATTTACTTGTATTATATTGTCTGAAAAGTTGAAAATTATTTGGTACAATATTTTTTCATTTTCACTTTCCTCTGTCCTTTGATTTTCTCTAACTAGATTATTTATATTTCCATCACTAATTCTCTTATTCTATTGTCTATACCTCAGTAATTTTAAGTAATTATAAATAAAACTTGTGCTCATGGCTTTGTTTCGTTGCAGTAATGATATAGATCTTTTATCTATCCGTTGTCGATCTAACCAATTTAAATCGGCACTATTGTCAAACGTCAGAAACTCAAACTGATTTCATCGACGCTTTCAACTCTAACAATTCTATGAATGATTAGAAAGAAAAAGATCGTCAGAAATATTCTTTGATGTTAACAACTAGTTATCTAATCATTCTCGACAATTCAAAGCTATCAATCTCGAATTTTTAGGTAACAATGAGAATTATTTAAAAGGTATTTTGAGAGTGGGTGTGGATATAGGTGGCTTAGCTCCTCTAGTCCGCAGGAGAAGCTGAGTCCTTCTAGACCAAATTCTTGGCTCTGCTTCTAGTGTGGATATGTACGACTAAAGAGAAGACTAACAGCCATAGCCACAGCCACATCCTCAAGCTTGGCAACATTTTTTAGGATAATTATTATTATTTTGAATTAGAGTTAGATACAGATTTGTATGAAACTATTATTTTTAATGCTCTCTTTTTAAATATTGATCGTATTAGTTCTGGTTATATTTTACAAGGAAATGTTATTTCTAATAATCGAGCTATTTAGTTATGGTAGAAGTGAATCTTGAACAGAACAAGTAGATATCTTAACTATATATGAAACAGGAAAACTATCAATTGTTTACGGATATCATTCAGTAACTATTGAAAAAGAATGTCTTTTAAGACAATAATGATGTACATATGATAATTGATGAATTAAAAAATGGACAACATTAAGTAAATAATTATTGAACTAATCGTAAGATTGATGATGGCACATAAATTTATATTAATCGAGCTCAATCATTGACATTTCAAAGTAATCAAGCATGGCGTTTAGATGATGCTCATAAAAGACGCTTATGAACAGTATATTTAGCCACACTGGTAATTAGTATTCTCGATAGAATTATTACTAAAAATCATCATTTGTTGAAATCATAGTATCAAGATTACACAGAAAATGTTATAGGTAATAATTAAAAATAGAACCAATAAACATTATTCTTTCTGTTTTATTCCAAAAATAATACAATATATTTGTTCTGTTGCAATTTTCATAGTATTGTCGTTATGAAATATTAGTATAGGCACTTGCATTTATTAAAAAAATTGAGCAACATATGAGCTCATTATTTCGCGATTCCAACTCAGAAGAAGCATCTATCTTCTTAGCTTACAACACGAAGAAATCTTATGATAATGGTCAAGCTTGTAAGGAATATAAACACTACGAATTTACGACTTTGCGATAACATATATATAACACAGTTAGATTCATCAACTTAAGTGCTGCAAAACCTGATCATTTTGATGTTTTTTTTTCTGAGAAAAAATTAAATGGACCAAAAGAGGTCCTTATGCACCTTCGTCCGTCCTTAAATAGAAGCCATTTAATACATATATATATTGTGTTTGGTCGTGTAGTACCTCCACATTAAATTTTATTGGACGATTTGATACCAATGAAAGTCGATATGATGATAGTCATGAAGATGTGATTATAGTAAAGATGCTCCAGAAACACTAATTTTTATGATAATCAATGAATGAAAGAAAATTTTTTTTCCTTAATAACTTGAAGAGGAATGTCAAAAACATGAAAAACTAAAACAAGAAACTGATAAATCTCGATAAGTTAATGAAGCAGTAGTTAAAATGATCCTTGAACGGCGATGTTAAGTAGAAGAATAAGAAAAAACTAGCTGGTTAGATTTTCTTCTTTTTAAAAATAAAAATTTTTGTTTTATCTATTTTCAGAAGAGCAACATTTAAAAATACCAATGAAATAAAAAAAAACAACAAAACCCTATTCCACTAAAACATCAGCTGATTTAAAGAAAAAATAGGCACAACATTTTTCTTATGATGATTTTATACATAATACGTCATTCAAAGCTAATAAATAGCTAATACCCTAAGAATTAGCTCATGCTGCTGCTAAATCATTGACACCAACATCAAATTCTACGATTTCATCAAAAAATATTGTTCCTACAACTAGACTATTTAAATACTGCAACTAATCTTGAAAAAAAACCGTATTTTTTCAAAAAACAACAACAACAGTAAAAAAACTAATTCAACAACTAAATCATCTATCCAATCAAAAACTAATACAATTCCATTCTGACTAACAAATCAAACGATGAATGGACAAACACCACTAATTGTATCATGTAAGTTAAAAAATATATTATCAAAATAGAATTGTTTATATCTGTTAACTTTTCTTATTCATCAAGACGTCTAAATTGTACAAAAATCTAGGTAGTTACTCATTCACTAGTCATGAAAATTTCAGCGCTTTTACAAACTTTTCAGCATTGAAATACAAGAAAATCTCTCTATATTAGCACTTCTTCGTAAACAGTACTTTGTTATACTAGGCGATCTGTAATCCTTCCCCAAGTAGAATTTGCTAGGAATGAGCATCTCTTTATTTTGAACAGTAAACGCTTATTTCCATTCCTATCAACAAGGCTGCCAATAAAAGGAGGGGGTATAGGGCTTCCCCTTCCAAGTCCATCTTTCTGTCAATTTTTTGACGGTTTTATGGTAACTTTGGACAGAAAACGGATTTGTAAACATCATTTGCGTTTTTCCACTAGAAAGTGGAATTAAAATAAGCAGATCGTCTGTTGTGGGAGGAACCGGATCACGGTGGCTTTCGTTTTCCCTTCTCTCTCGGTCCCCACTTCGAGTACTCCGAAAATGAAAATACTCTAGGGCTTTTTGTCGAATTTTCAGCTTCTCCCATCCCTAAAAACAATCGCCAACTGTGTCCATGAGCAATAACAACCTTTGTAATGTGAGCTACATACGTCTTATCATTCATGGACAGCACCAGAAAAAAATGATATTATATGTATTACATTATGATAAACTCTCATAGGACACATATAAGACGAGGATGAACTAATCATATGTCTTTAAAAGAAAAAAAAACCTATAAATACGTGTTGATTTATCTCTGATCAAAAAAGTTAAATTAATAAATTGTTGCAAAAAAGAAAAACATCATCTTGTACGGCTAAAAATCGATTCCAACTGAATACTTATAAGTTGCAAAAGACAAAATGAAAATCTCCGAAAAGTGAACACTTTTGACCCGTCTCTATGGTGCTCATATTAGAGAAATTCTACTGTAGATACTACTAATTAGCTATCAGACTTAAAGTGTCGTAAAAAACTCACAAGAATGAAGATCTACTATAAATTGATATTTTTTTTCATATTCTTCATTCGTACCTCTTATCTTTATTTCTTTATCTTTTTGCAAAGAAAAATGTTTATTTATCTTATGATTTATCTATGATACATTCTAACAGAATGAATGACTAACTACAATTATATTTTTCTATGAGTTCTAAGGTTAAAAAGCAAGAACAGTTTTATATTTTATTCTATCTGATTTAAACTAATTGAAATCGATTAATTAATATACATTTCGTTTCTTTTTTCTTGATTAATAATTATTTTATTTTTATTTAGCTTGAAAATGTCCCGTTCTCAATATGGACGATGAAGGTAGGCTTCTTTGCATGCATATAGACAAGTGTCAATATTATTCTGCTTGATTTTCTCATTTTATGCAATTAGAAATGAAAAGAGATCTATTTCAATTATTTTAACAAAAAAAAAACTAATACATGCAATATTTATTACAACTTAGCTTTGGAATACACACCACTCTTTATAGTCAACAGTGTTTTATTTAGTTCGTGATCTGAGAAAGCAATGTCACTTCGAATTTTGAACTCGAACAAAAAAACGATTTTTAACAGAATGTACCTCAGTTTTGTAGACTTAAATTACAAATATTATCCGTAGATATCGTACCAGAGAATTCACAACTCGAAAAAGATCGAACCATTTTACGTTTTCTTTTTAGAGAGTTAAACAAATTAGTTAGAAATGATTTTTAACACTTAAGCAACAGTTCTGTAGAAATAATATTGATATCATCATAACCAGTCATTAGACACCCACGTATAGGAAGTGCTCGAACTCAAAATTAAAGAAAACTATGTCTATCACTGGAAAGTGAATGATCCATAATGTGTGAAGTGAAAGCATTTTTATTCCTTGGGAGTCTTGAATGTTTCAGATGTGTGAAATCTTTCTTAGATTGGTTCTTAATTAGATATTAGCTGATCGAATATAAAGTATTCTTTCAATGAATCATTGCATACAAATATTGGGATGTCTACGAACTAAAATAATGCGTTCACAAACCATCTGAATTTTTGTTAAAATTCTGTGACGAACCTTGCTTGTATTACTGAGTTTCGCAGCAAAAATGACGCCTCCAGATAGGGAGCAACGTGCTCTATTGAACACATCCATTTTGAGCGTGGTTTGATTTAATTTTTGCATTCGTTTTGTAGAAATATTATATTACAAAATTTCATTAGTGTCTTAAAATCGTAATGTTCTAAAACTATGCTGTTCTTTTTTCTAAACATACATATATTTGAAATTTCCCTATTTTTCTTTGGATTCTAGTGAAAAACATATGATTTGATGCTGATAACAAATATCTGATTGTTTGTTTTTTATTTTTTCTGCTTTTATCCTGATCTAAATCATGACTTTCGAAAAAAAATGAACTTCTATAACATTTGGCCACACTGATAGATCATGTTTGATTGATGGCAAAAATCCGACTATTGGATCAAGATGTGATATTGGATTGTTGTTTTATTTTTGTTTTTATTTTTAGAAATACGCGATTTTATTGTGGATGATGAATAAGAAACTTTAAAAAAAAATTTTCCTTTTGATAAAGATAAGTAAGTCAACCTCTTAATAATACTATCCATTTCGAAATATAATGTGCTTCACTATTTTTGGAGTAATTTTTGATAGGAACCTACGGTTTTTACTATTTAAGAGAGAAGACCCAAAGTTATTGAAGTATATCGAAAAATGATTCGTCAACAAGTGAACAATTAGGTGAGTTCTTGCTGAAAATTTTCGAAAATGATATTCTGAAGCTATTTTTGTTTAGATTTAGACTTTGAATAGAACTACTCGATAGAACAAAACTCTTCACTTTGAATCTACTCTAGGCCGACATTCCTAGCTTGTCCCTTTCAAGTGTTATAGGACTTTTCTTGAGACACCCGAGATTCAGTATGATGAATTACCCCTGCCTAGCTGCTTTTCCAGATGATTACAAGTCAATTGATTGTAATCAGGGGTTCTAAAGAAAAATTTTATAACTATCGAACGGAACAAGCTCGGAATATCAGCTTTGCGTCAACAAAAAGAGAAAAATGTTTTCTATCGATTAGTTCTATTAAAAGTCTAAATAGAAAGGAAAATAGTATCAGAATATCGTTTTTTTTTGAAAATCTCTACTAAGAACTCTCCTAATTGTTCATTTGTTGACGAATCTAATTTCAATATATTTCAATGCCTCCAAGTCTTCTCTGTTAAAAGGTGAAAACCACAGGTCTCTATGACATTCCTATCAAAAATTGTTCAAACAATAGTAAAGCACATTATATTATGAAATGGATAATAGATAAAATATATAAATTTTCTTTTAAGACAAGAAAATTATTTCATCAAATTGTTTTCTATTTTCATGGGCGACAAGATATTTTACGTAAACAAGCTGAGAGAAAAAAAAATACGTCTGTAAATCGCTTCATAAAATAAACATTTTGAAGTTTTTCTTTCTTGTTGCTTTTATTTCTTATATATTTATTGTTATAAATGTAGTTTAACACATGCACGATGTGATTGTTTTTATTATTCTTATGTTTTCTACAATCAGCTTGGCTTATATATGTTTGTATTTTATTATTAATTAATAGCAAAACACTGGGTTTTTTTTTGTTCGTTGGTATTGCTTTTGTTTGAAAAATTGAAGCAATAGAATGACGGTTGAAGGAAAATTAGTTTGTCTTTTTATTTTTATTCAAGAATGTTTCCAATAAGATTTATTCGTTCATATACAACTGGAAAAACTCGTGAAATAATTAAATTTTATTATGATTTTAAATCACCGTTTACTTATTTAGCATTAGAACCAGGACTTCAATTAGAAAAAGAATATCCTATTCAATTACGTTTTATTCCATGGTCATTTCGTATTGAAGAATCTTTTGGTGGAAATCTTCAACAACGAAGTAAACGTAATTGGAATAAAATTCGATATGGATATTTAGATTGTCGACGTTTTGCTAATGAACGTGGTCTGATTATTCGTGGACCTCAACGTATATTTGATTCACGTCTTTCATTAATGGGTGGTTTATATGCTGATAAACATAATTTTTTTCGTCCATATGCTTATCGTACATTTGAACTTTTTTTTAAACGTGAATTAAATATTGAAAATATTGATGAAATTCTTAAAGTTCTTTATGAAACATCAAATGAAAATGTATCATTTGAAAAATTTTCTCAAGATTTTCAAACCTATACTAATAATCAAGGTCAACAAGATTATTTAAATGCACAAAATGAAGCTAATCAAGATAATATATTTGGTGTACCAACATTTATTGTACGTGATGAACCATTTTTTGGAAATGATAGAATTTCATGGTTAAAAAAGAGATTAGATTCATTTAAATTACATGACCAATAATTATTATCATATATTGACTATAACAACATCCAATAGATATATATGTAATTCTTATTTCAATAAATCAATCATTTAATTACAACTAATGACTAGTATAGTTTCTATTTTCATCTCGGATAATAACAAAGTTTGCGAAGGTTTCAAAATAACGAGTGATTCATAGTAAATGGCCAATCTTTGTATCTTCTTTTTTTTTTATCATCTAGTATGTTTATTTTAAAAACAAAATATACCATAAGATGCAGCATGAAAAGCTTCACAAGTTACATTAAAAATTTTATTTTATATATGCATTCTTTGTTTTTTTTCGAACACAAAATGTACTCAATTAAAATAAGCTTTACTTCATAGATTGTAGAGCTTTTCACGCTGCATCTTGTAGGATATTTTGTTTGTAAAAGAAACGTACTAGATGAGGGTGTGGGTGTGAGTATGAGTGTAGGTAAAGGAAAGCCACACCCACACCCAAATGATATTTTCGAGGATGAATTCGAACATTAGATGTTGCGACTGATCACGTTCTTCATAGAAAAATCTAGAAAGCATAAAACTTTTAATTGACAGGTTTTTGACTATAGATTTCTTTTGAGAATACAACATTGTATATCGAAAACTTGGCGCCGGCTACGTTTGTTGGTGTTTTGGCAGATCCTCTCTAAAGTAGTCGTATGAAAATTTAAATATTTGACTATGCCTCCAGCTGATTATTGTTCTGATTAGCACTTTATTGCAATCATTAGAATCATCATCACAAAACTCAATAAGCGTTTAATGTAAACATAAAATAAAGAAAGAACCAAGTAATTATGTGTTCACATTTGCCGATTAGTTTTGGTGAGTAACTCGTCTGTCGTTGACAAACATTGTTTGCCTTAATCGATTCGATTATAAATGTGTTATTTTTGAAAGACCAATATGAGTTATTATATTGATCAAATTTTAAGGTTCTTTCGATATATGTAACAGAGCCATTCTGGAAAACAATTATGACAGTGTTTGTTCTTGATCGCGCATTTACCCATATATTTGTATAATTTGCATTGATTGCACTCACTTCATTTAGCTCTACTTGTTCTGTTGTTAAAAATCGTTCTGGAAGATTTTGATCGCGACCATCTCTATATAAAAAGGTACGATTTTGTAAAATTTTATACATAATATCATCAATCAAGCCACTGATTTGCTGACTATTGATAGGTTTACCATTATAATCGTTAAATATGCTTTTGTGACTCTCTAGCATATCACTAAACATTTTGGTACCGAACATAACCTTTTGAAATGGTCTTGCATACAGATTATTTGATAGTACAAATGTGCCGGACATTAATGAGTGTAAAATGACATTGAATTCATCTGTTTCATTATTATTCGAGTAATATAATTTCCAATAGCCGTTCTCTAAATAGTCAAGCAACAGCAAATTGATACCATTGTATTTAGCGCCATTCATATAAAATTCATTCATGTAAGTAGTAGTATTCATAGACGAATAGTTTGAATGTAAATACATTGCTACCAATGGACCACTTGGTATCGCAGGATTAACTGCGTACTGTCCAGCTAAAAATAATAAATTTGCGATCCGACCAGTTTTTGTGTTCATACTTAGCCAAGAGCTATAATTTCGGACAGTATCACGACCACCATATATATAAGAAAGATCATCAGGCCAGTAAGCAGCATCATCCGTTGAACGAAAAACATTTTCATCACGATTATTAGCAATAATAACTCGGATGGGTGAGCATGGATTGTCATTCAAATGCATAATAGTAAAGCAACTGAATGATAAATGGCAAAGTAGCAAAACTATAAAACAGATTACATTCGTATTCATAATTGATGTATTAGCCATCGCACTTTCGTCACTTCGTTTAGAGGAATACTTCGATGAATCTAGAAAAGTCAAATCGATTCGAACTCAAAGTACAAAATAAGGAAACAACAAGTTTGGTAAAGAGAGATCAAGGAACTTTTGAAGTCTTTCTTGTACTGAGATATAAGTGTCTCACTGAAGAATCCTTACCACGAATTCATAGCTCAGTTACAATGAGGCCGATAAAAGCTGGTCGGTGCTCGGAATTATACTTTCTTCAGCTCTCTTCACAGTAAAAGTTTTGCAGAAATCAGTTTTTCATCATTGTCTCTATCATATACACTAGACTTACATGTATATAGTGGATTAATAAATAAAATAAGTATATTAATAAAAACAAAAACCAAAGGAAGGAAATCCGACTGGGCCGTGTACTATATACTTCGGAAGGAAGGTCATCAACTGTCCAATCATTTTTAAGTCGAAACTATGTGTATCACGCCGGTCCTAATGAGCTATGAATACCGTGAAAAGGATTCGGGCCGCTAGCGTATTACTGTCGGGATACTGCATTTTTTCGATATTTTTAATTAAGCACAATGTCGTGATCCCCTCAGGAACCGGAAAAACTGAATTTCTAAGTTCGACTAGAAACCTTACATAGAAACAGACTTCAATGAGAGTAGTTTATTGTGGAAGTTTCAGGTCTTTTGGCTTTTCCTATCTTAAGGCACAACTAAAAAGCATGTTTTTTTTTACGTCGCTCATATCAGAGATGTCTACCGCAGCTGGAAATCTACCGCGGCCGCGACGCTACTGCGATAATTTTCAAAAAAATATTACGAATTTCATGATTGTAACTGCATTGAATGATAAATATTGATACTAGACCGTCGGATTCATCTAGTCTCAGGGTATTTCATATGTAAACACTTAAATTCTATCACATTCATGCAGTTTTCCAATGTCTTCAAAAAAATGCTGCCGCGATGAATTTTTAAAACACTTGCCGCAACCGCGTCGCAGCCGTGACGATTTCTTTAAAAATCTGCTGCGACTGCCACCGTGGCTGCGGCAGCGCCACGATAGACATCTCTGACTCATATACACCGACGGGTTCCGACGTTCTTATTTCAGAAAAGAAACAACGAAACGATCTGAAACTTTCACAATAAACCACTCTCACTGAGACCTGTTTCTGTATCAAGTTTTAAGCCGAAATTCGAAATTCAGTTTTTCTGGTGCTCCTGAGGGGACCACGGCATTATGCCTAGAAATATCTTAAAAATGCACTATCTCGACAGTAACATGCTAGCGGCCCAAACTCTTTTCAGGATATTCATAGTTCATTAGGACCTACATGGTGCACATAGTTTCGACTCAAAAGCGATTGGACAGTTGGTGGCCTTCTCTCTTTAGAACTATGTTGTTACACCTATATCTTTAGAACTACGTAAAGCAATCGACATATGAGAAGAACCGGGGTCTTCTATTCTGTTTTACCATTCATAAGCTACAAGGAGGTCTTCTATTATGTTCGTAAAAAGTCAAATTTTTGGTGATCGCAACGACAAATCCTAATATCAATCCTTTTTTCATCCAATACGCTGGAAGTAAACGAGTTTAATTTACTTATACCGTGCTCGTACAATGAAAAAGAAATGGATAATGCTTTAATTGTAAAAAACCGAAAAAAATCGTTCGCTAAAAGAGTGTTCTTGAAACAATATAGATCACATACCCTAAAATTTTGATACGATTTATAACAGTACTATTTTCTCTGAAGAATATGATCTATCACTAGTGGCACTTATGTTCTATATGGATACACATCCCGAGCAAAACTCTTCTCCATCAGGGGAAAAAGCTGACGTAATAATTTTTTTGACTTTAATGATCCAAATGACTTACGAGAGAGTCCGCCATACGGCCACCCAACGTTGTTGGGGAAAAAAATTTGATTTTCGGTTTATCTATTTTAAACGAAAGATTTCATCGAACCATATTCAAATCCAAAATATTAAATCATTCTGCTTTATCTATGAAAAATGCGAGCGAAAACACTGAATTTGACTGCATTTCAGATCCTTAAAACGCGTACATTCAGCGATACATAGTATTTTGACTATATCTCCTGAATGATTTGATCGTAGGGGTGACCCTTTATCTTTACTATCCTTTAAAATAAAGATAAAGTAAAGGAATAGATGATTCTTTTTTTGAGGGCTGGTGATGTTGGAAGTGCTCTAGGACCACAGAGGTCATGTACAGAAATATCCTTATCATAAAATAAATGTATTTGTACTGAAAAGAAGCTAGTTGAGGCATAATATGATTTTCTGCATTCCCTCCAATGTTTAGAAGACTTCAATCAGAAAAGTGAAGATTGAGTCAGAACTGATATCATATTTTGAATCAGCATTAAAAATGGAGCCGATCTGTGAATATTTCAAAAACTTTTCAGTTCGTTTTTTCTCATCGAAAAATTTTCTCGTACTCTCCTCCAGGGCATTTGAGTCGCAAAAATGAAATCCATGAAAACGATGTTTTCGTCATCTATATATTGCTCATTTTGTGTTCTATTATCATTTTACAACTTGAGAGCTTGTTTGTCACTACGGGAACCACTTTTGGGCAAAATTTATTTCTGCAACCCAAATGTCCTGGAGGGAAGTACGGGAAAATTTTTCGATGAGAAAAAACGGATTGAAAAGTTATTGAAATATTCACAGATCAGTTCCATTTTTAATGCTGATTTAAAATATGAGTTTAGTTTTGATTCCATTTTCAATTTTCTGATTGAAGTCTTTTAAACATTAGAGGAAATGCAGTGATTCAGATTATGTCTCAGCTAGTTTCTTTTCAGCAGAGGTCGCACTTTTAGTTAATTTTAAATTAAGTTTAACTTTTTGTACTTAATACTTAATATTAATAAAAAACAATTTCGTAGTAGCCACTTAATCACTTAATATTAAGTGTTAGCGTATCACTTAGTTTTTAAAATTAAGTATTAACAGGTCACTAAATTTTTAATATTAAGTATTAAGTTTTTCGCTTTAACAGTTAATTCACTTAAAATTAAGTGATTAAATGGTTGATATAAAAGCTATTCAATTTAATTTTGATTTAAAATCTGATAATTTCAGTTCAATGGTTTGCGAGAGTTTGATGGAGAACTCTT